GATTAATTAGGCTATGATTCCCCTCAATTTTACATTTTTACCCAACTAACGACTCTTTGCGCTTTGTTCGGATTTTAAAAAAGCTCTTTTTTATTTTTATAAGACAAATATTCTTGAATTGAAAAGGTTTCATTTGAGTGCCACAGCGTAAAACCTGTCGTTCCCTTTAGCCAAAGTGTTACTTTTAGATTTTACTTAAAGGAATCTCTGAAATACTAAAGAAATCTTTGAACTGTATACATATTTTAATGCATCGTCCATTATTTATTTTAAAAAAGAATTTTCTTATACAATTTATTACTTCTTTTTGTATCCGTGTTTAAAATAGTTTAAACTCTAATAATATTAAAGTTTTAACAATATAATAAAAATTTAAACTCTTAATTGATTTCTTATTCAATTCATTATTTCTTTTTGTATTGTGTTAAAAATAGTATAAATTCTTATAATATTAAAATTTAATAATACTATGAGAGTTTAAACTAATAATTAATATTTCTTATTGCACCGAGTTAAAAATAATAAATTTTTATATATATTTAATAATATACTCATTATAATCAATTGCGTAGCAACAAAAATATTCCCCTGAAAAATATTCCTCAAATGCAACTCTGCTCCCTCACCCGCCAATAAATTAATTATACATAAAAATAAATATCTTGTTATTAAACACAATTTTTTTTTCGATTTATAGTTATTAAGGTGCTCCTAAAATTCCTCGATTAGCAGACGTTAACATAGAAGTTGGTCGATAAGATTATTTACCGTATGATTTGTTGTTTTTTTTCGCCACAAAATTAAATAAAAGATGACGCATTTTTATCACATAACTAAATCTAAAAAAATATGTATATTTCCTGCATATTCTTCTAATTAAAATGTTACAAAAAAATGGTAAAAAAAAACTATTAGGAGGAAAAAAAAAAATAGAAACATTTTCAAAATTAAAAAACAACAACAGAAACTTTATTTTAAATAGAAAGACGCATTTGCAGTTGTTTAAAAAACAGTCAATCCGCTAAATTGGATTGACTGAAAACAAATGTCGCATTATGGGCTGGAGCCGGTGTCAAACTTCAGACATCTGGATTCTGAGTCAGAATTCTAACCATTGCACCACGGCCGCGTATTCTAAAGACATCAAAACCAATGTTTTAACATTAGAATGTAAGCGTAAAATTTTGAAAATAATGATACTTACAATAAAAGTGTTTTTTTTTTTTTTTTTTTTTTTTTTTGTTCTTTTTATTTATTCAAAATAAGTTTTACAATATAAGAATGAATAAGATTCATAAAATATATATAGTAAAAGTTACAAACTTTAATAGCGTTAAAATAAGAAGAACGCGGATACTCGCAGAAGATCATAAGATCTTGTCATCGAGATTGTCATTTTTTATTTGTCTTCATAGCTGCAAATTAGTCCATTACAACTATATTGAAACTTAATTGAAATACTATTTCTGCTTCAATAGCTAATAGGTTTAGCGCAGACAAATGGTTTTGCTCCATCGTTGTCCTTAAATGTGTTTTTTATTCTTTTTGATGTGCTAAAGGATCTTTTTAGCCGTTACCATGATAACGGGTAATGTCAAATATAGCATAAGAACTACGATTATATCAGTGAATGAGCAACTTATATTACAAAATATTGTTGTGGACAGGGTAAAATTCGAGAATGCGAAATTTTCAACGTGTAAAATGCAGCGAAAATTTCTCCTAGCTCCAACCCTATCACTGTTTAAGCCCAAACCCTCAGTCAATTTAGTATTTCTACTTAGCATGTTCTCCATAATTCCGTCAATTTATGTTACTAAACTCCCTAACCTTATTTTTGCTGTTTATTCCCGCACTTTACGCGTTGAAGTTTTATCTTACCAATGTTTATAATAAATACCATTTTACCTTGTTATTGTTAACAATTTGAGCAAATCTGAAATACCGACCACATCTTTAATCTTCCCTTTGAAATTTTTTTTTGTTAAGAAAAGACTTAACTGCGAAGTTGGTGCCTTTTTTATCGTTTTACTGAAATAGTCTAACTATTGTGTTTTGCGTTAAAACTTTACGACATCATATTTGCCACTTAAAAAAATTGTATACTATTTTACTATTTATGAATAAATGCAGTTTTTTGTTTATTTTTAAATAAATAAAAAGTTGCTCACTATTTGAAGTATTAGTCAAGGGTATTATCATTACTTAATTGCACTAATTGTTAATGTTAATATGATTATGTACTTGTTATTAATGTTGATACGTTGACACGCATATTAATTTTTAAAGTGACAATTTTTTAAATTTTGTTTTTGAAAAATTTTAAGTCGCTTAAGTCCCTAATAACTCTGCCTCCTCCCCGCGGCAATAGAATCTTGGTTGATTGCTACGCTACTGTTCATTATACTATTTTGTTTAGTGCAATCCACAAAACATTATTATCAGTGGCGTCACTAGGAGGAAAGGGAAGGTGCGGGCCGCGCCAGGTGACATTATCAAGACCTGACACAGAGGAATGACATAATGAAAAAAAATGCAAATTTTACAGAACTATTATTTTCTAAATGACCTTTTTTTTTCCTCTGAAATTTCTAAATATAATGGACTTTTTTTAAAAAATTTAAGATTATGCCCCTCCACCTTCACAAACCCATGTTGTCGGTTCTGTGAGCAAAAGTGTAGAAGAGTGACACCAAAATTTTACCGCACTGGGTGACACCAACCTCAGCAACGCCATCGATTATTACTAATAATGTTCACGAGCTGAAGTCAAAAGTACAACTAAATTGGAATAGGATCAACGTTCATTTTTGTTTATCTTTACTGAATTGTTAATATTGGAATCCATTTCTAAATCTAAAAATACCTTCATAACAATAATTTAAATTGGCAAATGTTTCAAGCATAAGCAATAAGCTGTTCCATTAGATGTTTCAATCCACAATTTAATGGATGGCTTTTCCAAACTCAATATTTACAGACTTTTGTAAATGATTATCATTTTTGGTTAAAAATCTTTTAATCATTTTTCTCCTTTTTTCAATTTTTCAAATTAAAAACAAATTATTCAAAATTCCTCTTCAAAAACTCTTCTACTAGTATAATCATTGTTTTTCTTGATTAGCTATGCTCTAAAGAAGATGGATATAAAGTAGGAGAAAAACGACACAGTTGTCAAACTCTTTCGTGGTTATCAAGAATTATTTCTATTTGAAATATGCTAACTATTTAAGAATAACTTAATACAAAAGTTTTAGTTTTCCCAAGCATTAAAACATGGTTACCAACGCGTTTGTACAGAAGAACACTATAATAAATTTGATTACTGCATAGATTTATTTACTGCAAAATACTAAAATAGATTTGTTTACTGCAAAAGTAAAGACGTGGTTTTCTGCATATTACCATGGGTAATCCAGGACTTAGCTTTTGTGGAACTCTTGAAAAACTCATGAAAAAGTTTGTTTAAACAGGTAAATCTGAAAACTTTTTTGCTATTGTGTGAGAAAAAGCTCTGAAACTATAGCGCTAAACTTAAAGAAAATATACAAATACAATTATATATACGATGTCAGCTACTTTGGCCCCAAAAGTTAAAACAAATTAGATAGCGTCATTAGAAAAAAAGCATACAAGTTCTGCTTGATAATGAAATCAAAGTTGCAAACTCAGTTTTTGAAGATGAGTTGATCTAAATTGTATGTTTATACACCATATCTAATGTTTTTCATTATATCTAATGTTTTTATTTTTTAAATTATTTTATTTCAAAACTCAAAAATGTAAAAAAAGAACAAGATATTTTTATCTCAAGGTAGCTCGATAATTATGCTCGATAACCTCACGGAATATACTGCATTGTAGTACTCATATTTTGAATTTACCAAAAGCTGTAACATCAAAAATACCAATCAATGTTAACATTTTGCAAAATTTTTATTCTCCTATTAGAGATATTCGTTATTCTAATTCCAATTGAAAATATTCAAAAGTATACCAGTTACCTCATCCGAAAAGAGAGTGGTTAATGGAGTATGTTGTAGATCTCCGTTGCAAATCAAAAAAAGAAAAAAGAATTTCGATAGAGATGTGAAACAGTCAGTAAAAGATACAACGTTTTTAAACTTTTATCGTTTATGGAAAAAGCACTGAAGATTATTTTAGGAAAAAACTCTGATGTAGAACAACTCAATACAGAGTTTAGTAGTGAATGGAAGGCACGACCCAGCCAGCAAACTTTCATTGGGCCAATATTGGGCAAATATTGGGAAGTGCAAATTGGGCCATTAGTGGGCAAATATTGGCAAATGACTGGCAGAATAATGGCTCCAATATTGGGACAATATTTGTTTTGATTGGCTTATTAAAGCCCAACATTTGCCATTAAAGGCCCAATATAGGCTAATAATGGCCATTATAATCCCAATATTTTTTAACAATGTTCAAACATTGGCCATTACAGGCCCATTTTCAGCTCCTACCAACCAATATTGGCTTTCTCTTGCAATTTAAGACCATCGGCAAACATCTAATTTATATGGGATCACAGACCTTATATAGGTCAAACATTGTTCACCAATGGGTAATATCTGCCCATGCTTCATGGTACAATATTAATTTTTGTATATTCTCACATTTTGTTTTTGCAACAAGAGTTTACAATTGTCACTGCCGCGCTAACAAACTTGTAATACATAGAATAACAACTAAATTTCTAATTCAAAAGAATCTTTTTAAAATAAAATGGATTGTCAAATTGTTCGAAAGAAAATACAAAAACCAGTCGTAAATCATATACAAGAAAATATGCAATGTTAATAACAATTCTTCAAAATTTCTACTGAATAGAACATATTCTCAGTGCTATTCTAACATGACTTGTTTTAGCTAATAACTCAAAAAATTCTAAAGTATAAATGATAATTTTTATCAAACTATATTCTCAATCAGCATTTAATTGAAAAATAAGTTGAAATATAGACAAAAAAATAAACATCTGATTCAAAAAACCACTTCATTAAATTTGTTTTAATTACTTATTATAAAAAAGAAAAAATTAAATGTCTTTTCCAGGATTTTCTAAACTTTTACGCTTATCCTCGCGAATTTTTTTGAGGCCATCCCTATCAATTGAACCCGACAACCATTTTGAGAGGATCTTGTCCAATTGACTAATCGTCGCTTGGGGATAATTTTTTCTTACTGCATCTGAAAAAGAAAATACGAAGAATAGAGGTGAACAGAAAATGAAAATGATAAAAACATCTATCAAAGTAAAACCATCATCGTTATAAACACAGGTGTCCTGTTAGCTTAAATTTAAAAAAATTTCATATTAAGACTAGATTTAAACCTTAATGTGTACTTTCATTAAAAAAATTGTTTTAAAGTTAATCACTAAACAGTACTGATCCGTTTTTATTCAACATGTTTAGCATTTTTTTTAATTAAAAGAAAATTTTCTATCCAGTATATAAATGTATTGAATTTTTTTTGATCATTACTTTTTTTACTGCAATTTGGGTAGAACTGATACATAGATGGTTTTTACTGTAATTTGGGTAGATACATAGATGGTTTAGGATGAATTTTATATGCATAAAAGTTTAAATTATAATAAATTATTTCTCAAATTTCAAATTTAGTTAGATGATTTATATAATTTGTGTGAATTATTGTCATTAGATTAAATAATGGTGAAGTCACTTAAATAAAAAAATCTTAATAAATCTTATTAAATAACGACTTTATATACATTCTGAAAACTTTTGTCTAAATAATTAATTGAAATACTAACTAGTATAACAAAATACAAACAAACAAAAATCATAAGTGTATTCTAAAAATATTTACTTTTTTTTTTTTAATTTTAGTATGTTCGAAATATTTCTGACAATTGACATATCTATGAAGTGGCTAGACTTACCATATATAACATCTTTTACTCCAACTTACCATATATAACATCTTTTACTCCAACTAGGCCACTAAACTCTAGCTTTCCTTTTCTTCCTGTAAAATTGTATTGCATCGACAGTTGTGCTGTCAAAATTCTTTTAGCTATTTTCCTCAGACAATCTTCCAGGCTACTCCCACCAATGCGAGCCAAATAGTTTATCTGAGAAAAAAACAACATTAAAGCTATATTAGATCATCTGCTAATGGATCTGCCACCCAACTACAATTAATTGAAATTTAAAAAATGCTAGTCATCCATTTCAGGGCTATAATCGTTGTCTACCAAGTTTCTGATTAATGGACTTTTGGAATGTTTAACTTAATGATAAGATTTTAGATTAATTAAAAAAATCTAGCCCATTACTAATAGACTTTATTCTCTAAGTGTATTTTTTTAAATTCATATTCAGTTTATTAACAGCAAAATATATATATATATATTTTTTAACATATTCATGTTTTTGGTAATAAAAGATCTAGTATTGGAAGTAATAAAAAAATATGTTTACGTTACCAACCTACTGTCATAAGGCCATAAAATACAATATAAAATTATACTGTAGAATAAAAAATAGAAACACAGAAGATTATTTATCGGTAACTGCAAAATAAAAATGTATTTTATATATATAATATATATATATATATATATATATATATATATATATATATATATATATATATATATATAAAACAGATTATATATATATATATATATATATATATATATATATATATATATATATATATATATATATATATATATATATATATATATATTTATACACATAATGAAACAATTTATTAATATAGAAAAATATAGTATTTTAAATTGATAAAAAATAGTTTACTGTTCTTGATCTCTGCTCAGAATCTTCCATAAGAATTCGGTTGAATTCCAGAAGATCATTTATCTCTTGGAGTGGAAAGGTCAGGGTTTCTGGAAGAGTTGCAGTTGTGGTTTGTCCAATTTGGGTATGTTTCTGCCCCTGCTCTTTAATTTCAGCTTTTAGCTCCTCTAGTTGCTTAAACACACTTTGGAAAAATGGTCGTACAGCCTCAGCCACGGCTTGCTTTACTATATCAGGAACTATAAACAAAAAAAATTATTATTACACGCTGATGGTCTATATTTCAAATACAAAATTTTCTTAATAAATAAAGGTCAAATTTTTAGTTGTTTGGAGACGGAGGCCTAAAAATAAATTCTAAAAGTATAACTAACGTGTTGTGGAAGCAGAATGTGCTGATGATTGACTAAACATTTGATGAGATGGTACAGGTACAATTAGGCGTGGAGATGCTGTAGGTAAAAAATGGCGTGGAGATGCAGTAGATACAACATGACATGGAGATGGTGTAGGTACAACTAAAAATGGAGATGGTGGTGCAGGAAGTGATTTGTGCATCACAGTTTGTGACGATTGCAGTTCTTCCTCTGAGCTTGAGCTCAAACACTGACAACTTCTCTTTACCAATTTTTTGGATTGCATTTCAGATTTAAATTCAGTATCCCTGAAAAATTATAAACAAAATAATTTTTTTGGATGTGTAAATAATACACTGACAATTAAACAATTGTTAAAATCAATTGATAGTTATTTTAAAATCTTATACTTTTATTAAATAAATAAATTGTCTTTAAAAAATTAAAAACTATAGATCACAATTCTGCACTACAATAAATTGTTACAAATTACATCATACCATTGCTGTTTCTGCTTCCTTTTCCTCTTTTCTGACTCATATACCTGTTCAGAGCAACTTGAAGAAATGTCAGTGTTGTCCAAGGACTTGACTTCTGCCCTTTTCATCTTTTCATAATCTGGTACAAGTAAATTATACAGTTAATTTTTTTAAATCATGAGGTATAAAAGAATGCTACCCACTGTGTTTATTTTTTTGACAAATCTATTAAAAAATGTAAGCATGATAGAGTATAATTATAGAATGGGTACCAGTTTACTTACTTCCACTTTTTAATATCCGCAAATATGGATAGATAGGCCAGTCTTTATGATTTAATATAGGTGCTTTTCCTATTTTTGCCCATTGTGTGGCACCTATTCCCTGAGGCCAATAGCAACTAAAGGATTCCTTTAACACCCAACAATCTGGAACTACTGCCACTCCTTCCTGAAACTCTAGTAGATGAAACATGGTATGCTGTAAGAATAAAGCAAAAAAAGTTTATATTAAAAAAAATTTGCGTAGTGTAGTGGTCTTCTCGGCCTTGAGGAGTGAATAACAAATATATATATATATATATATATATATATATATATATACATATTCAATGAAAGGGATATATATATATATTCAATGGGAGGGGTTCGATGAGAGGGAGCCTGAACAACAGGTGTTGCGATGATAGACTAAATCATTTAATAAAAACAATTTTTTTGATTGCTTTCAAAAAATGTTTTTAAATCAAACTTTAACTTTCGTGTTAAAGAGATTGTTAAGGATATTATTTACAGTTAAACACTCATACTACTATTATGCTTTTAAAACAAAGGAATGAGAATAAATTTAGTCCGGTATGGTAACATCACATATTTTTTTTGAATTTCATCAATTTTGGCAATTTTATAATGATTAGACAAAATAGATGCTTTCACAATATCAAAGTTTTCCAAAGAATTAGCTGGATAATTAAAAAAAGGCTAAATAGTTAAAAATAATTTGTAAACAACCCAATGGTTTTCATCACTATACAACTTTATAATATTTTGAATCAAACAAAACTCATTATTTATTTTTACGCAATTGTTTCCTTCTGAGGTAGAGTAAAAAAAAACATTTATAAATATTTATTTAAATTGTAAACAATTGGATTGTTCTGTAAATATAACAGGGCCTTGGTTATGTAGTTTTCTGG